AATAAATTATATATACATATATATTCTTAACGGGTTAACGGATTATCCATTAAGAAAATTGAATAATCCGCCCCCAAACCGATAAGCCGTTAATGAAAAAATTTCAATCCGTTCCCCGTCTATTAAACCGTTAACCCGATACCAATAAGCCATTAAGCTTCGGTTTCGGTTTGATTGTCGGTTTCGGTTCGGTTTTGAACATCCCTAGACTTCATCCCTTAACCTTAAAGAAAAAGTTTGATTTTTGGAAAAATTGTCAAAAAGTAGGTTTTGGCGTACAATTTTAGCCATTTCATGCGCTTCATTTTCTGGCAACAGAAGCACATACCACGAGGCCTTTTAGCGGAGTCTTAATCATGAAAGTTACTCCCTCTGTTCCAAATTACGTAAAATTATTTGATTGGGCACGAAATTTAAAAAAAAAGTGAAGACTTTTAGAATTTGTGGTTAAAAATGGGGCCCCCGAGTATTTCTGTGATTATAAAAATTTCTAATTAAGGGTAGAATTGTAAGTTTAAGCTAAATTGTTTTGAAATTTAGAAATGGGTCATTCTTTTGGAACGGACCAAAAAAGAAATAGGTTTACATAAACTGAAACGGAGGGAGTACAAGTTAACGAGTGTAAAAAGAGTTTCCATGCAATTGTTGGGTGGTTTTACGGGGGATGGAGTATATATATAGTGTTTTCACGGCACCATACTAAAATGGTAAAATACATAAATGGTCTCTTTAAGTCGTCCATAACAATCAAGTGGATACCTCAATAGACCTATTTATCAAGTAGATACCTCAAGTTATTTTTTAGTGTATCTTATGCACACTCCTGCTCGACAAATCTTATAGGTGAATTACACTCGCGGATGACGTGGCAAATTTATAAATCAAAATATGACACCTATAATTTCTTTAAAATATTTGTCTATAGTTAATAAAAAAGGAAATGAGAAACACAATATTAATAAAAAAACCAAAAACCAAATCGGATCCCCCCTTTCCCCAAAATCTTCTTCTTCGTCACCAGTCACCACCGGCTATCTTTCCACCAAATCGGTCTGCATTTTCCTTAGCCCAGAAAAACTTCTTCATAGGCCACCACAATAAGAAGATTTAAATAGATTAGTGGTCCGGCGGTTATTCGGCAGAGAGGTGGTGGAGGGATAGTGTTCTGACTATTAGTGAAATCTTTTTTGGGGCCTTTTGAGATGGTGGATAGTGAAAAAGGCAAGAAGATACCAGTTGGGTGTGCTATCTAAGAGTGTCAATGTTAAATAAAGATAAGAAGAAAATGGAGATCTGGTGGTCCCCGAGTATAAGTAGTGTTCTTGTTTAAGAAAATTAACGCCGGCTTGTGTGCAGTGGCGGTGGCAGGATCTTCACGAAGGGGGTTCAAAAAAATAAATTTGTAGCTAGGGGGAATTGAACCCATGACCTTATGTAGATTTTGAACCCCCTTGACCGCTAAACTACACTTTTAGATTGTGTTAAGGGTGTTCAAAACTTAATATTAGAGGTAAAAAACAGATTTTGCCTTATGTAATTTTTCAGCGAAGGGTGTTCGGGTGAACACCCTTGCGCCCCCTAAATCCGCCCTGCTTGTGTGAGCTCAATAGACTTAGCTATGTCAAACTGAAATATATGGAATCAAAATAAAAAAAATAGAATATGTTGATCCATAACTAAAATCCAAAAAGTCATCTCAAAAGAAAGAGTTTATTCGCTCATTTATTTTCTGCTATTTTGCACATTCTCTTTCATGGTAAAATTGTGGTGCTGAGAATAGTGGGTTATGGTGGAGTGAACCGCGAAAGGAAATTTTGGAGAAGAAAGAGTAAGAATAAGTGGGCTCCACCAGTTAATTTTTTTTTAAAAAAAAAAGAAATAAATATAATTTTGAAAGGCTTCACTTACTGCAATGCGAGTGTAGTACACACATTTTGCCATGTCACTTTGAAGGGTTTAAGAGACGCACTGAAAAATAATTTGAGGTGTCTACTTAATAAATAAGTCTGATGAGATATCCATTTGATCGTTATGGAGGACTGAAAGAAGCCATTTATATATTTCGCCTACTAAAATTAACAGAGAATGTTACTCGACATTCGCTAATGGAAAAAATCATATACATTTCTTACTTAATAAAAGACACTATATTATATTACAAAGAGGTAAAGTCTAAAACATCATAAGAAGAGAAGTACAATGGAAGGATGTACAATGCAAAGCAAAATTAAAGGGGAGAGGAGAGTGATGCTTAGCAAGCTTTATAAGGCGAACCACTACATAAAGTTTGATGCCATTGCATCACTCTTGAGAAGGTTGATACGGAGATGCTATCAAGTAAAGGTTACTCTTTCTAGCACTACTTGCTCCATCCGACTCAGCCATGTCTAGATCACTTGGATTGATTCCAGTAGGAAGTTTCCAATCGAAATAATACAATAATTGAGCTAGTGGCAAATAAATATTAGCTAACCCAAATGATATTCCAGGGCAAATTCTTCTGCCACTACCAAAGGGAAGATATTCAAAATTATTACCAACAAAATCTACAGAGCTCTGCTCAAATCTCTCAGGCTTAAAGCTTTCTGCATCATCCCAACATTTCGGATCTCTTCCGATAGCCCAAACATTAACCATTACTTTCGATTTCAAAGGAATAGAATAGCCATTTATATTTGTTTCTTCCCTACATTCTCTTGGAAGCATAAGTGGAAGAGGGGGATGGAGTCTTAAAGTTTCTTTAATGACTAATTTTAGGTATTTCAACTCTTCGACATCATTTTCATCAAAAGTTTCTTTCCTGCTAAAGACTTCTCTTACCTCTGCTTGAGCTTTGGCGAATACACTTGCATTCCTAATCATTTCCACCATGGCCCAATCAATTGTGGTTGATGTTGTTTCTGTTCCCGCGGCAAACATGTCCTACATGTATAAGCAAGTTACATTGTCAAATTATCTCACGTGTGTTATTTATCTTGTACAAACTCCTTGACCAACTTCTACTGAAATATTCAAATAGCCTATTTATCTAGACTTGCGCTACTAAATACTAATACCTTTATGTACTATAATGAAAGGAACATCTATTATCTACACCAAAATTATTTCTTGATATGTGTAATGAAAGAAATATTATTTCTTTATCATAATATTTTGCTATTCTTTTCGTTATCTTAGAATGCTAAGTTGTGATGGCTGACTTAATCTTTTCATTGTACTTTCCAAAAGTGTAAATTCCAGCTTTATGAAAGCATCATTAGTAGTCATATTTGAAAGCTAACTGAATCGACTCTCTCTAAGTACCAAAAATAATTATTTAATAGAATTGATGCAATTTGAAACTTGTGGTCTTAAATATACTATATTATCATGTGATCTTAAATGTATGCTAAAATAATACTCCTCGCGTTGAATTTATTATGTAAAATGAAGTCTTTCGAAACTTGTGGTCTTAAATAATATACTGTAATATTTGTGTGGTATAAGACTTTTAAAACTAATAATCTTAAACATGTTATATTAATATTTTTTAGCCATAAAAATTTATCATTAAAATAAAATAGAAAGTTTAAGTTAAATTATTTCTGAACTTAGAAAGAGGTTAGTTTTTCTGGAAAAGATAAAAAATAATAGGAACACATAAACAGGAATAAAGGGACTAATTAGAGAAGACTTTTGCAATATGTAGTACTTACATAAATAATAGCTTTGATGTTGTCGTTGGTGATTGGAAATTGAAAGTCTCCATCTTTTATAAGCCTTAGTAGTACATCAATTAAATCTTCCCCTCCTAATTGACCATTGAACTTGCCATTTTCAAGGTTTTTCTTGTGCTCATTTATGACATTATCAACAATGGTATCTACCTTGTGGTGCAGATTCATAGCTTTAGCCCTCATTCCAGTGAGCACATGAAGAAACTTTAGTGAAGGAAATATGTCAGCCACATCAAACCCTTCCAGTAAGGCTGTAACATCTTTCATTACTTGTATAAATTCATCTTGTTCCTTGAATACTGTCCCAAATGCTGATCGACAAATTATAAAGCTCATGAATAGATAGATCCTTTTTGTAAAATTAACTGGCTTACCAGAAGATGATCGAAAAAATTCAACAAGACGAAAAACTTCATCTCGTCTAATTGATCTGAATGACCGAACATTTTTCGTACTGAGCACTTCCAAGACACAAATTTTACGCATTTGCCTCCAATAATCACCATAGGGAGCAAATGCAACATCAGAAGAGTTATACAAGACAATTTCGGCTGCCAAAAGTTTTGGCCTAGATGAAAAAGCGAGGTCATGAGTTTTTAGTACTTCTTTTGCTATCTCAGATGAAGTAACCACGATTACAGAAACTTCACCTAGTTGAAGGTGCATAAGTGGTCCATATTTTTTAGCTAAATCTCTAAGGACACGATGTGGAAGTCCACCAACCATATGGAGCATACTTCCAAGAATAGGTAGTTTCCATGGACCTGGAGGCAATCTTTTGGCTTGATTTTTGGAATTCATCCATTTCTTTAATAGAAAGAGGAACGATGCAAAAAGCAAGATGGAAACCAAGTCGAAGGACATCATTTTGGGGGTGAAAAGAAAGGTTTATTTTGTTCAATTGGGTTTTCAAGGAGTTGTGGCATATGCTCTTTTATAGGGTTTCTTGTTTTGGCAATACATGATATTTGTGGTTGTGTAAGAACGACACTTTCCTTTTATGTTAACTATATATCATAGCATTCTCATTTACTTTTTCGGCATAAATTATTGGGATCCACTGGATAAAAAGAGTTTATTCTTTTATAAGAAGACAGTCAAGGAAAAGACAAATGAAAAGATTTACCAATATTAATTTAGAAGGATTATTTTAGTCATTTGCATATATTTAGCTTATATGTCAGAAGTTTGCTTTAATTTTTTAAATTTTATAAACCAATTCTACAACAAGTGAAACAAATGGAGTATATATTTTAAACATTAATGCCTTGTAATTGATGATAGACTATAATTGCATATTTTAGTCGCTTATTACACTCGAATTTACTGCACTTTAATTGAGTTTGCGCTTTAATCGCTAGTGTTTTGCACTAATTGTGTGTTTTATGCCTTGTAGGTGTGATTCCGAGCTATATAGATGTTGTGGAATGAATTTAAGTGATTTGAAGCTTTGAAGTCTGAGTAAAAGCTCAAGGAATTAAGCCGGGATCGTGTTCAGGGGTCAAATTTGATAATTAAGTACGAACGAAGACTTGAGTAGGCATATTGTGCACTGTCTAGTAAAATAGACATAACTTTTTTGCTCAGAACTCCATTTGGGCTCCACAATATATGGTTGGAAAGCTAACTCAAAGGGCTACAACTTTCATGTTTTACGTTTTTCCAAATTCCAAACGGAACAGGGTGAAAAACCGCGGTTGCCGCGACCGCGGCAGAACCGCGGTAGAAGATGGTCGCGGACAACTGAAGAATCAGAGGGCATGTTTGGCCGCGGTTCCACCGCGACCGCGGCAGGAAGCGAAAATTTCAGGGACTAAAGTGCAAAACATGGGATTTTAAGTCCTAAATCCTATATTAAACAAAGGAGGCCGGCCAAGAACAAGAGAGGACATATTTTGGACACAAATTAGACCTAAGGAGGCGGAGAGACACTACTTTAGGGTTAGACAACACCCTTGGAGGCAAGAACACATTGGGAGCAAGGCGGAGAATTCTTCTACGAGTTTTTCCTTCCTCTTCCCATTTTTCATTATTGGTTATGACTTTTAGTATTGTAGTTTTACATACTATTATGAATAGCTAATTTGTTATCTAGAGCTTTGATAGAACCTTTTGTAGGATAAATTCTTGTTATGTTTTTATATAATTGAGCCATAGCTTTTCTCTATTTGTTCAACTACGTTTATATTCTGGTTGATTGAAGAGCTCTCAATTAGTTGTGCCTATTTAGTATGCATAACTCGGGAGAGAGCGCATATTTAGGTAATTGTTGAACAACACCACTCCCAGAGTATATGAGGGATCAATAACCGAGGGTTTAAAGGCGGGATTAGGGATAACGAAGCCTTGGGTGCGATCTGAAGTGAGCTGTATTAAAAGCCAGCCAGCGTAGCTCGGGAGAGTGCGTCTAGTAAATTGTCGTAATTACTCGGGAGAGATTTACGGTAATAAGAGTGCTCATGATCGGTAGAGAATACTTAGGCGAAATTATAGAAGACATAGCGGGAAGGATTCCGACAATTGGGGAAATCATAACTCTAGACCTCCTTAATCTTTTCTCTAACCCTCAGTATCGTTAGTTGTTAATTTACTATTTTAATTTGTTAGTTAAGTAGTTAAACACAAGAATCTTAATCTCTATAAATTAGGAATTGTTCAAGCTTGTCTTCTTGGTGATAGTGAACAGCTGTAACTAAACCTTAGTTCTCTGTGGGATTCGACTCCGGACTTGTAAACCGGATTATATTTGCAACGACCGCTTAGTCCTTTTTATAAGCATAGTTGGGCGTGATCAAATATTGCACACCCCACACTCAAACCATTGCTCGTCCTCGAGCAATCAAATTCCACTTTTTTTTATAGACACGACCTTTTTAAACATTCTCCTAACTCATTACACCAAGAGTATTTAAAATAGACTAAGTACAAAAGCGTAACATCTTCACCTCAAGATTTGACTCACAAGTACCACACGTTATTCACAACTCACCCACTTACTCTAATATAGAGGTGACTAACATTACCTTTCCTTCATGAATCAAGTGTCCTCACACAACAAAAGAGAGTAGTTCCACACAATAAAATTTAAGAACACTTAGGAACTCAAGATAGAAAGAATTCACTCACTCTCAGAAATAACATTCATATGCCCCAAAAGATGCACCATAAGCTTGCCCGTAGTGTACTACTCCACTAATCGAGCTCATTCAATCTTGGATCAATTAGGACTTTATTTGGTTGTAATGTAGGCTACGGGACGGGTAGGATACATTTAGATATAAGAGTGACTACACCTCCCTAAGCACTTTAATACATACATTTTAAAATTTAAACCCCATACTTATGTCAAACCAAAACTCCACCTTCACATCAATTTATATTACCCCATACTTCTTTAAGCACACTTACGTCAAGAGCCACCACTTATCAAGAAAACTTTTTTTTTCACAACAATCCAACTATTTTGTTTTCAATTCAAGTGGCTCTTCCTTTTTCAAAACAATGCACCTTTCTCCTTATTTCATTAGTTCCACTCAAAAGCCAAACCAACCACCCCACACTTTAACTTTTATAAAGTTCATAAATAATTCAAGTGCTTATGAGAGGTTACAATGGTTCAAATAGATGGTTAATTCCAACAAATGGGTAAGGCTTGTAATGTGGTTGCCAAGAAACAGGATTATAGGCTCAAAGGGGTTAACTACGATACATAATAATTAGGCGGGTAAAATATACATATCTGGCTCAACAAAGAAATGCCTATATCACTTCCAAGACTGAACAACACTACTATTTTGCTTTGCAAACACACGGGGCAAGTTCTAGGCATCAAATGCAATGCACAGAATATCACAAAAACTTACACACACATGGCAGATAACTCACTCAGGATTGGATTCATCAAGACACCCTAGTCAGAGCAGTTAAGCAAATTTAAGATCATACAATTTAAGGTACTTATACAAGAGTCAAAAACTGAGCCTAAGCGTCACAGCCAAAGTACTCACTATTCTCAAGGAATAACAAAGTCAAGAGATATTGCTTCAATTCAAAGCAAAACACAATGGCTCCTATTCCCAAAAAAAAAAAATTACTACACCCGGTTCAAATAAAACCCTTGGAAAAGAATCGTGGTTTAAAGAAAAACCAAGGGGTAATTGCTACACTACCTAACAAAACAAAAAATCTTTTTGGTATTTTCTTTAGACTTACTTCCCTCAAGAAAA